GCTTGGCCAGATCGCGATCGTCCAACGTGGCATTGAAATGTTCCACATGTTCACGACGAGTGTCCGCCGTGGCCATCCTCTCGTCTCGGATCGCGATCTTGGCATGCTTAGCCGCGACATTTAGGCGGTGTTGATACTCCTGTGGATTTTCATCTGATCGTTTCCGTGCGAGATAGTATTGTCTGGCCAGGGACACCCCTTGTCCTCCATACTGTACCATAAACTCATCCAGCAGTCTCTTCCACTTCTTCCGAGTAGATCGACTCAGTTGGTTGTACCAGTTTCGAGCGGGTCCTGTCAGCAGATCTCCGAAAACCAAACACTTCTCCTCATCTGGTGCTTTATCGCGCAAGAAGGCTGATTTAATCTTGCTGATCCAGCTTCTGGCCCGATCTTCATCTCGATCCTTGCCACTGAATTCTTTTAGCTCCGTCATTGCCGACACTCTGATACGTTGGGGTATGCTATCACCATCTTGCAACGTCTCGGTTGTAGCTACCATAGCGTGTCTACGATCTTCTTGTCCCGAATCATCGGGATCGATGTCATCAGGATCAAAAAACTCCGGATGACGGGTGTACGACTGCACCGATTCCATCTCCACGTCGGGTGTGTATCTTTCGAGAGATCTAGCAGGCTTGATCCTTTGGCTTGGGTAGATCGCTTGATACGCCCGTTTCTGTTGATCTTGGCGAAAATGTTCCATGGCCCTGTCGAGGTACGTCTGCAGGAGCCCTTGCGTAGTAATCGTTTTCTGCCCTTTAGCGCCTGTGGCCTTCGATCGCGAGTTCGTCTTCACCGACTCGACTCGATCGCATAGCAGTGCTGCACCAATTGGGCCTAGAGACATCCGTTGGATGCCGACCGAATCGTCCGACTCCATTTCTGATTCCGCCGAGGCATATTGAGACGATCCGGTATGATAACCTCTCGGGACCTCGGCGATCGTCGCAACTGCTTGATCCGCGGATTCGCGCTTCCCCGTCAGAGGAATTGACGATCCGGTATAATGGCCTTTCGGGACATCGGCGATCGTCCCCACCGCTTGATCTGCGGATTCGCGCTTTCCCGTCAGGGGAGTAAGCTTGTCATACAGCGATCGACACGCATGGATCACCTGATCCTGATCGCATTCCAGTAACTGGTTCGCATCGAACGCTCCAGCGACGTATCCCGCATCTTGCAACAGTTGGATGATCGCGCTGATCCCTTCTACTGCGTTAGTCGCCACCTTCGCACAGGATATCGGGCCTTGTAACTCTCCGAGTAGCTTAGGATTCAGTATCCGTAGCACGGGATCATTCGATAGCAGATCCTCAAGCGCTTTCCAATGGAATCCCTGCTCCAGTTGGTCCAACTGCCATCCTTCCGCCTTCATATCCAGATCTTCGTCTACGAACTTGATCGGTTTTATGATCGCTTTCACGCCGCGATCGCGTCGATCCGATCTGGGATCTTCTTTCTTCACTCGATCCGTCTTCGAAGTCGTCTTCTTTGACATTGCTTGAGTGGTCTTGTGTAGTTTTTGTTCAGTTTTCGCTGAAGGGTTTTCACCCAGCGGATCGTGTTTTGCAGCACGATCCGCGGTGGTCCCCAAAGGGACCATAGGAGGGGGTCGAGGTTTATCTTCCAGATCGATTGATCGATCTTCCTCTTTAATTTTCTTGTCATCAGAGCCCCTCCCAAAACTCTGATAATCCGGGGATCCTTTAACATCACGCGTCGCAGGCGACCCCTTCTCCTCAAACGCTTCCATCCCAGGTTCAATCTTGATTTTCACTTCTTGACTTGGGGACTCACGGTGAAATCCCGAGTCACCAGAAGATCCGGGCACGCGCACCATTGTGGTGGAGTGGCGATCGCTCAAATTATGAGTCGATCCCAACTCTCCACTGGCGCCCGGACGACCGACTAACGGAGGGGGTACTCCGATCCCGTGTTCTTGATAGCTTTCCTCACCTTGTGTACCCGTCGGTAGGGCGGTTTGCACTCTTCCAGGTGGACTCTTCTCAAAAGAAAACTTGACCGTGTTGGGGATGGGGGTGTAATCGTGCGGAAATCTTCACGCGATCACGGGGTACTTGTGGGTACTGACTTGAGTAACCCTGATCTCAACGAAATCGCCTTGTCCACTGTATGGTTGCTTGATCCGCGAGCCTTCTGACCACTTGAGCCGTCTCGCGATCTTGCGCCTTGCCTTTACTTGTCTTGCTGCGTCCGATCGCAGTTGATGTTACTTGAGGGTTCTTGAATACACCTGGCCAAAACAATCCAGGTGTCACACTTGCGTAGACGTGTACCGTTACTCTTTGTTCAACGGGGGGCCAAAAAAATCCAACCCGGAAGAGATAACGTGTGCCTTGTGAAGTAATTTGAACTCTGTTTAATGTTATCCAATCAATCCTAAAACCCTACCCCTATGCCTATCCGTATGTCCTAACCAGATGCCACGCGTCGCCTTTCCAGGAAGATCGCCCCCTCACATTTGTGTGGTCCACACCCAGTATATCAACCGTTGTGTCTTTCTTGTGGCCCACCCAAGATGTCCCCACGATCCTACGAGCGGATCGCGATCCTACTAGCGGACCGCGATCTTACTGGCGGATCGTGATCCTAGCCGTGGATAGCGATCCTACTAGCGGATCGCGATCTTACTGGCGGTTCGCGATCCTAGCCGTGGATCGTGATCCCACTAACGGTTCGCGATCCTAGTCGTGGATCGCGATCTTACTGGCGGATCGTGATCCTAGCCGTAAATCGCGATCCTACTAGCGGATCGCGATCCTACTAGCGGATCGCAGCTGGATATTAGACTTGCGATCCTGGGTTAGGATCGCGATCTTCCAGTGAAATCGAGAGTCTTGTCTTGCCCTGTCTCACGACGGATTGCGTAATCAAAACGGGTCTGACCACCCCATAACCTCGTCCCGGATTGGACGATCCTATCCAATTGGGTTTGGGGTACGTTATCGTCAGCCGCCCGTCCCAGCTTGTATCATCCAATCACAGTGATCTTGGTTCAACCGAAACGTGGGACCCGTGCGATCGCCCATCCTCGATCGCCACTCCACGTCCCAAAGAGATTTCTTTGAGACCGCTTTACCACAAAACCCTTCACGCGTGGCGTGAAAGGTCTCTTCATCATTTAACATGTTCATGTTGGATGCTGTGGTCCTTGGAAGGACTACAAAGTGCTACCAGGTGTAACGGGGCACACCCTTGCGTGAGCTTAACGCAAGGGTTTTGGTGCGCCCGACAGACGTACACGAGGCAAACGAGGAAGCGTAGATAAGTAAAAGTTAAATTGTTATATTAATATCATTCAGGCTTTAACCACTGTCTCTCTGTTCGACTCAACTTAATTATACTTTTATAACTGAATGTATGACGACGTCTACTCACCACTCATTGCGCGCGTCTTGCGGCGAATTGGTCGGTTGATGTCGTCAAGATATCAACCAATAAGCAGACTCTTTGGTCGACCCATCAATATCATTACCATTGGTAATATTGTTAAAATAATATTCAACATAATATTATTTATTGTCATTATCTTCTAAATGACAATTTCCATGTAACGGGCTGCCCCGTTAAAGTCACAGCTAAGCTGAACTCCTCGGTATGATAATTTGCAGGTGAGCTAGCGAATATCTTTCTTGAATACGCCTTCCTTTACCAACACTACTTCTTAAATGTATACATGATGATCACAGAGGTATCCGCAAAAGCAAGCTTGCTCAACAGCCACGAAGAGCTTGATCTACAAAGCACTGATATTATCGATCGCGTCCCTCGATCTAAAGGCGGTACTCTGAGCGTAATCGATGCCAATTGACTATGGAATGAGGATCTAGTGATCATGCACCGGATTTAAACCGAAGCTGACCCTCACTGGCAAGAGTGGGAGCTAGAGTGCCCGGCTACCTCGCGTCCACGGACGCCAAGAATGAAATTTCACTGAATGATAACACTTGGTAATAGAGATAGAAAACACTGTTTAAAATAAGTTTGATCTTAAAATAATCTTATCAATAACATCCGATTTAATAATAAAATAACACAATTTTGTATAGTGATGTCTACTTACTTCAACTGCGCGCGTCATACGGCAAATGGTGGGTTGATTTATAGCCTATCCGCCATTTGGAAGACCCTCGGGTCGCTGCAACAATGTCACTATCACTCCCGAAACTGATATTTTAGAGAATATTTACTTAAATGCTGGGTATTGTCTTTTCTAGTAAGTGACAATATTGTGAAACAGGGTCACCCCGTTCTAGTCTAGACCTCTGTCGATCGTCAGTGCGACATCCGGACTCGTTGATGCGAAAAAACTCAGCTGGTACCGACACGTCGTTGCATCGCGACTGTCGATCTCATATGGTCATCATTTCATCCAGCACCAATACCAGAACAAAAGCCGATCGAAAGCATTCAAGCACGCCAGTCGGTCTACATTACAACCACACGGGAATGTACCCAACGAGCCAATCGTCCAAATCCCTTCTTCTAGCTTGCCAAAAACTGGCCCGCCCCTCGTCACTGGTTGTCTCTGCATCAACCGTTCCGCAGCTCTTCTGGGGCAGAAGAGCCACACAGTCGCCTTTTGTCACTTCCTCGAGTTGCTGACAGACTCCAACAACTGGTCGCATCAAGCCATCTCTGCTTCAAGACGAGCATCGAGAAGCGCTCACACTCATCATCATTAGCAACAGCTTTTCCTCTCGCCTTTACAAATCAATTCAAAGCTGTCACAGCATCTCGCACCTGCTGCAGCTGCTATTGTATTTGCTCTTGTTACGAGAACACTGCAATTGTCGAGTCAAAGACACCACCATCTTTCTCCAAAACCAGCTGCTTTTACAGCAAGACCACCCGCAGGCGGTCGTTCGAACGAACTGTCATGTCGCCACAACAGCTTTTTTGTCGCTACGGCTGCACGTCAACCCAGTCCTCATTTGCCAATTCGCGAGCTGAAATTCAGAACGATCGAACGCAACATGAAGGTATTCACTGGCGCAACAGCGTTGCTGGCGTCTTCGATCGCCCACGTTTCCTCCGCAGGCTTCGTCAAGACATCTGGTACAGCGTTTGAGCTCGATGGCAAGCCGTTCTACTTTCTCGGTACAAACTCTTACTGGGCCTCTCAGATCTCTTGGGTACGTGCAAATGAATGCCTCTCGGGAAGGACGCAAGGTCAGCACTAAGAGTTTTTGTTTCTATTGCAGAGTAAAACGGATCTGGCTACGATTTTTGATTCCATGGCTGAGAACGATCTGACCGTGTGCCGGACGATGGGATTCGCTGACCTCAACCAAACGGGCACGGCACCATACAACATCGTGTACCAGTTATGGGAGGATGGTAAAGCCACCGTGAACACCGGTGACAACGGTCTGGGATACTTCGACCAAGTGGTTGCAGCTGCCAAAGCTGCGGGAGTGAAGCTCGTCGTGCCGTTCGTGAACAACTGGTCCGACTACGGTGGCATCGGTGAGTCAAGTTGTTTGTTTTCGTGCATTGAGAAGGTGTTACTGAGCAACGCATGCGGATGGTAGACGTGTACGTCAAGCAGCTTGGCGGCAAGTTCCACGACGACTTTTACACGGACGAGAAGATGAAGACGGCATACAAGAAGTTCGTCAAGACATTCGTTGAGCGCTATGCGGATGAAGAGACCATCATGTCGTGGCAGCTGTGCAATGAGTGCCGTTGCGCTGGATCCGGAGAGTTCAAGGAGTCGGGTACCTGTGACAGCTCGACGCTCACGAAGTGGATCACGGAAATGTCTACGGTGAGTTTGAAATCACTTGGTTTGTCTCGCTTAGCATCCACGCTGACGTCAATTGTTTATGATCAATGCGTTATAGTACATCAAAACGCTGGACTCGAACCACCTTGTCTCATCTGGAAGCGAGGGGTTCATGAACACCGACAAAAGCGTTTACCTGTACTCCGGTCCATCAGGCGTCGACTTCGACGCCAACCTTGAGATCGAAAGCATTGATTACGGTACTTACCACGCCTACCCGGACTCGTGGGGTGTGGAGCCTGCAAAGGCAGAGTCGTGGGGTGTCCAGTGGATCAAGGATCACGTATCTTCTAGCGAGAAGGTTGGCAAGCCAATTGTCCTGGAGGAATACGGCATAAAGGCTCGTGACTCGAAGTCCTACTTGTCGTGGAGTGACGAGGTGTACTCTGCTAAGTCGAATATGCAATACTGGCAATTTGGCGTCAAGTCGTTGAGCACACATGACGACGGGTACGCAGTCTACGCTGAAGATGATCTGTTTACAAAGGCGATTAGTCCCGCGGCATCAAAGTTTGCGTCTCTCGGTAAATCGTCGACATCGAAGTCGAAGTCATCGGCCACCAAGAAGACATCGGGCGAGACCGCAAGCGCAGCCTCTAGCGATTTCGAACAGTCAACGGACGCTGCCACCGCGAACTCAGCAGAATCGGATGATACCGAAGAACTCGCGGACCCGCTTTCTGAGTCGGCATCGTCGGGCGCGGGTGCTTCAACCGGTACTGCCACGCAGACGAGCCTGTCAACCGAGGCTTCGACTGATACGGAGAGTGAGGAAGAAACAGGCACTTCCGAGTCCGACATCGTTTCTGCGCCTGGTACCGACACTCTTGCCGCGACTTCGACAACGCTGCAGGGCGTTAAATGTTCCGTTCGTCGCGCTTAGTCAGCGGGTTGGAAGTGGATGCATGACTCGTATGAAAGGGTGAATAGTACACATAACTGCGTGAATACACAAGTACATACTTCGACCCAGCGGAAAAGCGTAATCGTGCATCTTGAATGTGCAGATACGTGTGACTTACGATGGTGACGTATCTGTAACGACGAAGCGTGTCCATTTCAGCAGAGATGAAAGCCGACGTGAGACTCTGAAAGCCACAAGTACGTGCAAGAGTGTGGATTACGTTAACGCACCAGCTTACTATCCACATCAAACTGCCCGTTCCGTCTACTTGATGTATCTGCGCTCATTTTGTCCGCGACCCTTGAGCATGTATGAAAAGATCGTTGCGCTGTACAAAACGACAGTCGGTAGTTCTGGCAATAAGAAGGTCCCATCATCTACGGTTCCGTGTAATGCAGTTTTGTCTGGACTCGACCCATTGCGAGTTGATTACTTTTCATGATCTCGTCACGCAACACAACCTCCCCAGCACTTCTCATTCAGAAAGCTACCACTTTATCAGGATTGTTGCTACTAAGGCTGATAACCCACACACTCCCATCGCGATTGCCGTTATCGCTACTTGGCATCGAGCACGACCAGCCTGAGTGCTCCTTCCTGCTACTGATCCTACATTCGTGCGTCGATGACGTATTGGTCTCGTTTTCTATAAATGCGATCGGCGCAACTAAAGTTCACGACATACTGCCCCACTTCTGACAAAAGTCGCCTCGTTTACTACAACGATACACCGCTCGCCAGATAGAACCGTGCGGCGCACGTTGTAACGGGGTAGCCCGTTACATGAGATTGTGATTAAGGATGAAATGATAATAAAGAATATTACGATGAATATTCTTTCAACAATGTCACAGAGCATGATATTATTGTTGAAGATGACCGAAGGGTCTACTCATTGGTTGACATCGTGATGATATCAACCCACCAATCGCTGCTAGACGCGCGCAATGGGTGGTGAGTAGACGTCACCATACATATAGGTATATTAGTATAATTAAATCAGGACAAACAGAGATACAAGAGTTATAGGACTTAATTGTATAAAATAACAGTTTTACTTTTTCTACGACTAGAGTCTTTCACCTTAGTCGTTATGCCTTCCTCTGTGTAGCTCTACACCTAGCTGGGCACTGGCTATCACTACATTCAGTGGTAGTAAACCCCGTACTGGTTGACCAGTACGTAGTTGTCGGTGCACCGTTACACCCGGTAGCACTTTGTAGTCCGTCCAAGGACCACACTCGCATCGCCCAACATAGACATGTTGGACGAAGTCGAAGGCGACAGATTTCACGGAACCCGTAGAAGCTACTCGTATTTAAGCGATATCGAATGGAGTGCGATCAAACGAATGAGTTCGACCGTTGGCAAAGAAGCTATCTGGGCCATGCTATCCACAAAGGATAGAGACCAGCAGCATTCCATCATTAGCAAGTTCTTGCAACGAGAACTTGATGAGTCGCGAGCGCAGATGACCTTGTTGCAACAACAACATCACCAGCGGAACGAAAATTTGAGACAGTCTCAGTCCGCGCAGTCGACACGAGAGCGTCGACCGGGTTCTCTAAAGCTAGAGATCTCCAAGCATCACGGAGCCGAGGACGACTCCCTGTTAAAATGGCTCGTCGAAATCGACGATGCCATCGAGGCCCGTCGCATCGACAACGAGTGAATGCAAGTTGAATTCACTCAGTCGTACTTGGCAGTGGACGCCAGGAATTGGGCCCTGAATCGCAAGTTGCACGACCCAAACGTGTTTGGGTCGTTGAGGATCTTCAAGACCCTGCTCAGTAAGACGTTTGAGCCTCCCACGGCAGAGTTCAGGACACTATATGAACTCCTCGGAATCAAACAGGGTAAGCGTAAGATTCACGTTTACGCTCAGCATGTACGCTACCTTGCAATCTGCGTGGTAGTGAACCATGTAAGTGAATTTGTGTTGATCACAACATTCATTCAAGGGCTGTCCGATGGTCCCGTCAGGGACCTCCTGTTCTGCGGAGAGCTAAAGACGCTCTCCGAAGCAATCTTTGCTGCGGAGCAGGAAGACTTTAGTGTGAGACAGGCTCACACTACGCTGACCCCCTTTCGTCCGCAGAGACGATCAGCGGTCGGAGATCCAGAGCCAATGGACCTCTATAATGTCAAGGGCGATAAACCTCGCCCTGCGGATGACAAGCGATCGTTGAGATGCCATCGCTGTCATAAGCTGGGACACTACGCATATGAATGCAGTGTCCCCCGCTCAGTAACTCGCGGTGCTGAGCGCAGTAATCGTCCACCAGTAGGAGAACTGGAGGGCGAGGGTCCGATGATGTTGCAAAGCCGCAACAGCGAGGCCAACCATCAAAAAATGGTCGGGGTCAGTAGTGGCGGAGCGCCCTACTGATCCAGCAACATCAAGAGAATTTGCAAATCTCTTGACGAAAGTTGCTCCCGACACGCAGTCTCTGTGTGTATCTGCACTTGGTGATGAGGTGTCTCTCATCACCTCGATATTGGAAGTAGCAAAGGACTTGTCACTTCGCACCCTAGTTGACTGTGGGGCGTCAAACAATTTTGTTCGTCGCCAGTCGCTAGTGTCAGGAAGTTTCAACATCGTGGAGCGGGAGATCCCTCCAACGAGATTGACGGTGCGCCTGGTGACAGGCGCATCGATCACTGTGAAGAAACGTGTAGTCGGAATCCACTACACGTTAAAAGATGAACAGAACGATGATGACTTCATCGTAATCGACCTGGATGACAAGTTTGATGTCATCCTAGGACTACCTTGGCTCAGAAGATACGAGCCAAGGATGAGCTGTCAGCATTGATCAGTTACGATACCTGCTACTTGTTCCTCAGATGACGATCTGAAGAATGTCTTGAAACGCCCACATTTACGTGGGTGTACTACGAGCGAATTTGATGGCCTCACTCGTGGTACGGTCGTTATCACGACTGTACAAGAACACAATGTAGATGATCACTACATTGTGGTTAAGCTCTCCTGGACCCTGTGGATGTGACTTTCCAGGAAGTAATCGAGACATTAAATGTCTTGGTTAATGATGGATCAAGCGTAGGCGCTCACACACTTGATCTGGTTGTGCCTCCGAAACTAACTTCAGAGATAGCTCAATTGCCGACGCTAGAACCGAAACGGTTCTTGCGTGATCTGCGCAATGGCAAAGTCAAGCAGATCTGCGCACTCGTCGCGGAGGACGAGTACGTTATCGACATTCGATCGGCAACAGTATTTGCTGAGAACGAACGAGTTCTTAGCAGCTCATCGATGGACGAAAGCGTCATCGATGAGAAGACTCGGATTGAGCGATAAGCGTCCCAATCCTGGAGGTCGCTCCAGGCAAATCCTTTGTATAAGGATTTGATCGAATTCAAGGATGTGTTCTCTGAATCCGTACCGTGCGAGTTGCCTAAGGACAAAGGCACTCGACACGAGATCGAGCTCAAACCCGGCTCGAAATACTGTGTCATGAAGCAGTGGCCACTGCCTCGTGAACAGGTGCTAGCGATTGACAAGTTCTTTACCGATCGCTTAGCAGCGGCCATGTGACGGAATCAACATCCCCTCACAGCTCTCCGACCTTCTGTGTGCGAAATCCACAGGAGGATGGAGGATAGAGCACGCATTCAACAAATTGAATGCTGCAACGGTACCGGCTCAGACGCCGATACCAAGAAAGGACGTAATCATAGATGGTATGTCAAAGAGTACCATCTTCTCGTCCATGGATCTGATGGACAAATTCTATCAGATCCTCATGCGTGAGCGGGACATCCCGTACACAGAGGTGAGCACCACCAGTGGTATTCTGTGTGAGTGGCTAGTGATGCCACAGGGCTGAGTAATGCCCATGCAACATTCAACACATGTGTCACAAATCTGTTGAGACCGGTGCGAGACTTCGCACCGAGTTACTTCGACGATGTGTTCGTCCATAGCCGGGATATGGACAGGAAGACGGACGTTGAGGCTCATAGAACTTATGTTCGTCAGGTTCTTCAACTAATGCGCAAGCATAAGTTGTACGCCAACCTCAAGAAGTGTATATTCGCGACTAGCGAAATACCACTTCTTGGGTGCATCGTGGGTAAACACGGCGTACGCCCCGATCCCAAAAAGGTCAAGGCGATCACCGACTGGCCAGTGCCAGTCGATGTCAAGGGACTAAGGAAGTTCCTTGGTCTAGCGGCGTACTTACACAAGTACTCGCGCAATTACGCCGAGATGACTGTTCATCTTTCTTGCTTGCTCAAAAAAGATGTGAAGTGGTCATGGAACGCTGACTGTCAGCGTTCCTCTGAAAGCATCAAGCTTTTCTTGATGCAATTGCCAAGATAGGCGATCGCAGATCAGGACAGACCATTTCATGTGGTCTGTGACGCCAGCGATTTCGCAATCGGCTGTGCGTTAATGCAGTTCGATGCAGATGGCGCGGAGCGCGTCATCTGTTATCAGTCGCGTCAGCTGCAAGCAGCTGAGCGTAATTACCCAGTGCATGACAAGGAACACCTTGCCATGAAGTACGCACTGGCTAAGTTTCGCGTCTATCTCTTGAATAATAGACCGTTTGTTGTCTATACGGACCATGCTTCACTACTCACGACCGTAAACAGTCCACACCTCTCGCAACGAATGGCGAGGCAGCTTTCTTTCTTCGCGAAGTACAACTTCTCAGTAGAGTATAAACCAGGAGGATTGAACGTCGTCGCTGATGCACTTTTGCGTCGGTCTGATGTTGAGCCAAATACCTGCGTCCGAAGTGAGGCATTGCCCATTGTTGCATCTGTGTTGGTCAGCGTGCCGTCATCGCCTTTACTCCATGAAGTGCGGAAGGCATACGAAGAGAAAAGTGGATCTCCTTTGTTTGATGGGTCACCTTGCGAACCCAACCCTGGAATCCTTGTCGGATTAACCGGCTCTATACCGCTCCTCGTTGGATCGGTACACAACGCGGAACGGACTGTTATAA